CTACTGACAACAAATTAACCACTGAAAACTCGGTGGAACACAATTTTACTCTTACAGACATGGAGTCTCTGTAAGTCAGTTGAAGACAACTGATTTTCTAACATGGTGATGAATATCTTGATGCATGTCAGTTTGAAAGACTTCCACAAGATAAAAGTCCATAAGCCCTATTTGTCATTTGTTCTAGGGAATTTGTCATTTGTTCTCTCACTTTACCTTTTGCAATGCACCTAATATTGTCCTCCTCTTCATTTGAAAGGTTAAGGAAAACAGTCTCAGAAAATGTTCAAAGACATGTTCAGTTCCATAAGATCAGTGATGTACTACAAGTAAAAATCGCATTCCTTATTTTCTGGATTTCAATTTTCTCATTTGCAAAAAGGAGATACATTTACCTGCCTAAAGAAGGGGATTGAAACAGATGAGTTCTTGGTCCCTTGTGATTTTAAGTTCTACTATATCATGCAACATCCAAAAAAACAAACAAACTCACTGCCGTGGTGTTGGATCCGACTCATAGCAACCCCTCCTTGGGTTTCCAAGGTGGTATCACTACAGAAGTAGATTCCCCAAACTTCCTTCCAAGAAGTGGCTGGTGGGTTTGAGGCACCACCTTCTGGTTAGCAGTTACATCCCTTAGGCACTACGCCACTCTGACTCAAAGGCAGTGAGTTTGGTTTCATACAACATAGAGATGAGGAGAGGGAGGATAAAGCTTATGAGGTTAGAAGAGGATGTTCATCTGCTCCCACAAATTTCCATTTTGTTTTTGGCCAAATTTGTTTGCTGAAGACGTAACCTCAGTTGTAATCTACAGCTCTACCTCTTATGTATGTATATATGAGAGACAACTCAGGGACGCCCAAAGTAGCAGGCAGGAAGAGCAGGAGAAAGGGGATTAAAAGCCAGGAAGCCATAGAGAAGAGCAATCAGCTGAAGGGATTAGATGAGGAGAGGAAACTCAGGCCCGCCCAGAGTAGCAGGCCGGAAGAGCAGGAGAAAGGGGATAAAAGCC